CAACTAAATGTTTTCTAAGATGGTAGTTTGTAAAGTTCTTGATTTTCCTCAGTGCAGCTAGGGCACCATAACAAGATGAGGCGAGATGCTAAACATGATCATCCCATTTCAAGGTGTCAATCATGTGAACCCCAAGTAATTTAATAGAGTGAAACACGTTCGAGGGGTTTATCTCCCTCTCAATGTTCAAAAACCATCAGAGTTCAAATTCTGCAATAGTTTACAAACTTAAATAGTTTGGCAGGTCGAATTTAACACTTTTGCTTGAAGTTTTTCAGTCTATAATACAGAGTCTGAAAATAAAACGTTAAGCAAAATTCGGCTGAATTATGGCTCATAAAAAGACGCAAGTTTTTTCACATGACAAGTAGAAAACAAACTGTTCAAGGCGAATGTTTTATGAATGAACGACAGCCGAATTCACCGAAACATAAAGACTACTCGGGATGACAGCACCGTAGAACTCGGCTGCAGTGACTGATATGGCCTTCCACTCAACGCATCGGGAAGGATATTAGAGCAAGCTCTTATTTTTTCACTGGAAGGGCAGCCGATGCAGTTTCTGAGGCTTGCTTCACTGCAATGACCATGATAAGCTTGTCGCGATGGACCTCAGCATGATCGCAGTCGCTCTGATACCGTCATGATTAGTATAAATTTTAACAGTTATACCAGTTTGGTTATATTTTTCATCATTCCTACTTTGCCCTGTTTTGTTTTAGAACACGAAACTTATATACTGTAGGAGTGTTAGGTGTGTTTGATTTTCATTACCGTACGTAAGCTTCCAATCTAACTGAGCGTGAAAACCATTAAAACTCGGACTGTCCATCTCGTTTACTCTTTGAGGATTTTCGTCTCTATTTACGTTACAATAACGTAAATTACAGCACCTGGCATGTTTACAAACCTTTGTTTGGTTCATCTGTTGCTACTTGCCGGCTCACTTTCAATTATCGAAAAAAAGCTCGAGAGAAGTCCCGGAAAACGTCGGAAGTGATAAAATTTGGCAGATGACGTGAAAGCTTTAGCACGCTCTTTTAGCCAATGACAGCACCATTATACCCGAATTTTATTATAAGTACAAGTAGAAAGTTGACATAAAATAGAAAGTAATCAAGACACGTTAGTCACCCTTCATTACATGTAGGTGACATAGGGTACGGCCTGCTTCTCAAAAATCGATTAGTTTTCGATGTATTTTTTGCAGAGCTATTGAACTTACTCTTATAAACGATTGTCAGTCTAATGCCAATTCAAAACCTTTTGGAGGGACAGCTGTATACAGCCGGGTCCAAATCATTCGCCGTCATGCTTATTCTTTCGAAAGGAATGGGCTATTGATGAACTGTTGCGATACAGAAACTTATTACCTTCTCAAAGGACTTGGCTTTGTCAATCAATACATTAACTATATAAAATAAGCAATGTTTACTTAGCTTGTATTCTTGTCTCCGAGCCCCTCCGTCATAGCCAAACAAAATATTAGCAATCATCACAGGACGAAATTGCAAGAATCCGTAAACAGAAACGTGGCAGAAACATGTTAAACCGTTCTGGAAACACGACGGATAACCTGTGTTTCCGTTACCGGTTTCGTGACGTTTTCTCGCGTTTCCGTTGCTGCGTATATAACGGAACCGGACCGCTTTTTGTGCATGTTAAACATAACGGAAACATGGAGTTGCATGTTTCCGCCACGTTTCAGAAATACGGAAACATGAGATTTCGTCCTGTGCATGTCAAAGTATGTTTATCTTATATTAAGATCTTTCCCTGGAATACCTTTGCCGCAAGCGCAAAGCTAAAAATCATATACAAGCTTAATTTAAAAAAACGATCGAACTACCCTCCGTATCTGACGTAATGGAACGAGACGATTATAGATGAATAATTTCAAATAACACTTAATTGATTACAGTGTAAGATGCCCCTATCACATAAGTTCTTTTATAAAGGGAAGCACTTTATCAAAAAGAGTTCTCTTGTTTAATTAAGTTGGATCGCGTAATGTGTTCAGGAAAAAAGGGAAGAAAGAAAACAGTGTATAATACGCGACACTGTAAGTTAAAATGAACAATAAATTCCGACGTTGTTTTTTGTTTTCTAAGAATTGCTTCACTCTGTAATTGGTCCAGAAAATTTCGACAGTGACTCACGTCATTCTCTCAATCAATCAGATGCAAAACACAATCAAATCGAATGGTCGCCCTCGTTTTCCCGTGTATGTGCCTTTTTGTTGTACTTCGAGTACTCTTTGATCTTTGAGACTGGAATGGGCCGTTCTCATTACTTTGGTTTTGATTTTACGATATTCGATCGTTAAGCGCTTTATTATTCAAGCACCTGATGAAGAATAAGATGACAGTGCAGACTGTGGCGAGAATGAACCATTACTAATAAGCCGAGAACAATCAGAACTTTACACAGGGGTTATATGAACATATGACTGTGACTTGACGAAAAGCGCACATTCCTCAATCTCCCGGACAAAGAAGCTTAGAAAACCAATGATTGTGAATTTCATCATTTTGTAATCTCATTTCGTCGGCACGTGTATTATTGTTTTTACTTTACCAATTTGTCTAGAATATTTGGGGGATTTTATGATATCTAGGTGTATATCACAAGAAAATCAAGCGGGGAAAACACTATCCCAGCCCCTTCACCTCCCCCTCCCCTCCCTCTCCTCCTCGTTTCCCCTTTCCCTTGTTCCGGTCTGGGTTGGATACGCGGGTGGACCTCAAGATATCTTTCTACATATTCGATAATGCATGTTTATTTTAAAATCATTGGTGCATTTTTCTAAGTACTTTTGTTTAATTAACTACTTAAAATGATGTAAATACACACAAAGGAACAAACAAATAGTGAGCTGATACATTGGAAAATAAGTGAAAGACTTTAGTTTATGATCAACTTTTGTAGTGACATTTTGTAACAATTTTATGAATCTGGTTATGAAAAGTCAGAGATATCCATGGGTAATGCAATTGGGTTAACAGATTAGATAATTTTCCAAAGAAACGACAGAAAAAAATAATGTAAACCATACAAATAGATATTTTTTAAAATTGAATTTATTAAAATTATATTTCATGACTGTCTTGTCACGTTGGATCACACAACTTAACAGTAGACGTTTATTATTTGTCACAAAAATGACACTGAGTCCACAGGAACAACTACCGATTGGGTTCTTTCATGCTCTGCCAAGCATTCCAAATAATTGCAATTACTACTAAAGCGGCTCGCATTAGCTGTATGTGTAATTAATATAGAAGCGATCCTTGCAGGTATGAGCACTATTACAGTGGTAGTGAAAATACGGCTTGAAAAAATTTAGGCCCGTACGGGATTTGAAACCATGACCTCTGCGTTACCGTAGAGCGCTGCACCGGTATTGCACAGATCATGGGTTGAAAGCCTATTCGGGCCTGAATATTTTTCAGGCCTTATTATCACTACCACTGGAATAGTGCTCATACCTGCAAGGATCGCGTTCATATTTGTTTCTTCAAAGAAAGCCACAAAGTAAGACATAACTTTATTGAATGGTGCGTAACTTTGAAGTTTCATCTTAAAGTTTTGCACTTGACATAAACGTTTTATGGGATACGAAAACCATAATGATCCCACATTAAACAAATTTAATTCCATAACATTATCGAGAAGTGTATTTTTTTTTCTCAGAGTCAAGATTGCGTGCTTAATATAAATACATATTCATATATAAATAAGAGTATAAATTTTGATTATTTCTGAAAGTTCCTTCTCATTCTTAGTCCTGTCAAGACTAATTTACGAGTGGTTTGTAATGTTACAGATGCTTCTGGAGTGTAAGTTCGAGCAAGTCTATATCTGTTATTGTTATCTCTCGATAAGGATGAACAGAACTGTATGCTGCAGACATTTGGTCTACGCAACAAATCCCTGCTGCTTTCTTACGACTACATTTTCGTTCAGCTCTTTTTATTTGTTTTTTCCACAAAAAACATGATGAGATCGCGCTTTATTACCCATTATTTCTTGGCGCAGGGTAAAGGTAACAATGTTTGTTGCAAGCGTGCCATCACCGTGATCTTCAGAACTGTTATATTGAGTTGTAAATTTCAGTCAATAAGCTACTTCTTACATTATCTGTAATACCCTTACCTGCACTTCTTTTGGGGGCAGGTACATCTGTTATTGTGATGTTTTTTTATCATAACTTATAAAATTTCTATCTGCTTACCAACCAGTCAGAAAAAGAATTTTATTCCAGGGGGTACAAATGAACTAGTTTTATGGCGTTATATCAAATCGCCATCTTGGATTCCATATAATTGGTTTATTTGTACCACGTGGTACAAATTACTTTCTCTTTGATTGATTGTGTATCATAGTGCACCCCTTCTATCCTACTAATGATACATAAATATTGTAAGATTTTCGTTCACAATTTTATAGAAAGTATTTGTTTGTGAAATAAGGATTATAAGTTTATTCTAAGAAAAACATTCCAAAAACTAAGTACCCAACACCATAAAATATATTCTTAAATAGTTTTTGGGTAGCCTTGTGCCACTAACTTTTAATCTAGGATATATTTTTGACCTACTTACGGTGGCGCAAAATGAATTCGTTTTCCAAATACGCATTCTTTTTCTGGGTCAGTATAACAACAAAATGAAAAACAACTGAA